CACCTTCATTATCATTGGGACGGTCTGCAAGCTGACTTCTCCTCCCAACAGCTCCCTGCCATCGATCGTGGTTACCTGCAGGGGTTGCTTAAAGGAGCGTCTGTATCTGGTGTTCAGCTGCAAACTCTTTGCTCATGAAATTGCAGGAGCTGCCTGAGTCCAACAGCGCCTTTATCTTTAGAGGGTGTCCGTTTGGGAGCTCTAGTGTCACTTCTATCACTAGGGCGGGTTTAGGAGGTTCTGGAGTGGGCACTTTCACTGCTCTTTGGCCTGGCTGCTGTGCCCCGACAATGGCAGCCAGGCGTTGGCTTTTAGTTGCTCCGGTAATTTTTCCTCTCTTCCCTCCACAGCTCCCACCATCCCTTGCCATTCCTTCCTCTGGGGGCAGACTCTGGCAAAGTGCCCTGGCTGTTGGCAGAGATAGCATTTCCGGGCGCCTTTTCCATCCTTCTTTCCCCCCACACTGGGCTTTGAAACAGCGCGCGCGCGCTGTTCCGATTTCCATCGGCTCTGCCGGCGGGACAGTTGGCTCTGGAATGTCTGGAATGCGGAACTCCTTCCAACGTTCCCCTTTCCCTTCCCGCCTCTCCAATGCTCTCGCCTCCTGGCGCGCTCCTATGGCCAGCGCTGATTTGGTCAGCTGGTCCATAGACTCCGCCCTGGGCGCCCGGGAAAGTTCATCTTTCACAGCCGAAGAAAGCCCTTCTTCAAAGAGCATTTGAATGGGTTCCGCCGATAAGTCCCACCCCAATCTGTGTATCAGCATGGTGAACTCAGTCCAGTACTCACGTACAGATCGGCTCCCCTGTTTGCAAGCCATTAACTGTCTGCGCACCACTCCCTTTTCAATATCGCTGGAAAACATCAGATCCATGGCGCGAAAGAACTTCATCGTGTCTTTTAAGACGTCACTATTCGCTGCCATCAGGGGTCTAACCCAGTCTCTCGCCCCCTTTTCAAGATGCCCAATCACAAAAGCCACTCGTGATTCCTCATCAGGAAATCATCAAACTGCAGATTGAGGGCATATTGCATTTCTGTCCGAAAGCTATGATAGTCTTTGGGCTCCCCCCCAATTTTTGCACCAATCCTGGTACCTTTCTGGCGAGCTGGGTGGCTTTCTCCCTTTTGTCTGCATCTTGAGCCCTCCTCTCCTCCAGCCTCGCCGTCTGCAGCGCCAGCTGGACCTCTAACACCCGGTACCTTTCTTCCAGGCTTGGACCCGCTCCAGCCCCTGCTTCTCCGGTTCCTGCTGGGTTGCTCATTATTATGCCGTCTCCTGCACAAGCTGCGTTCAAAGACTGTCGGAATGCTGTGATGGGATTATGAGCTGCTTGTGCGTAAAATCGTATTCCCTCAGAGTTTGTTCAAGTCCACAAACCTCTGTCTGTGACTGAGCCCCTCTGACATGGCTCCTCTTAGTCACTAGAAGATTCCGACAGTGGTTGCTTTCGTAATCGCTTCCAACATAAAAGCTCCTTAACGGAAACACGTCTTCTGGACTCTCTGCGTGACAGTTTCCGGCGAGGAGTGGGTGTCGCTACAGGAGGTCCGGAAACCTCACCACTGTTTTCGCTGGAAGTATCTCTGAGCCATCCCCCCAGCTCCCTTTCCCTCAGTTCAGCTTGTCTCCCCCTGCTGGTTTCCTCTTCCGCTGCTGAGTCTCTTCCAACCTGTCTGAGCCCTTTCACCTCCCTCAGTTCAGCTTCTCTCCCCTTGCTGGTTCCCTCTTCAGCTGCTGAATCTCTTCCAACCTGTCTGAGTCCTTTCACCTCCCTTCCTTCCGATGGCAGTTCCCTGACACGTCCTTAACTAATAACTCTCTTCATAGTCTTCATTGCAATATTTCACACAGCCCTCCTTACAAAACTTCTTGCAGTTCTACTAGCGTAATTTGTTTATCACAATTGCTTTTCAAATATTTCAAATATTTACTTCAGTCCTCCAAGAATCTCTGGTCCTGCAGGTTTTGGATCCTTCCTGTCATCTTACCTAATTCTGCATAGTCCATTAATTTCATTTGCCACTCTTCTTTCGGTGGTAATTCTTCTTGCTTCCGTTTCTGTGCCAATAAAATTCTTGCTGCCGTTGTTGCGTATAAAAACATTAATATATCTATTAATATCCTCCCCTACAATGCCAAGTAAAAATGCTTCTGGTTTTTTAATAAATGTATATTTCAACATCTTTTTCATCTCATTATATATCATTTCCCAGAAGCTTTTCACTTTCTTACATTCCCACCACATGTGATAAAATGATCCTTCTTTTTCTTTGCATAGCAGCTGTTAAAATCTTATGTTGGTTTGTATTTATTATCTGACAGACCCACGTAAAGGTTGCAGTGCTACATTTCTCAGAAAGGGTTAATGAAAAGTGGCGAGACTTTCACAATCATAGTATCAATCCTCTGGTTGTAAGCAACACTTTGATCTGGACTTTGTTTTAGTGTCTCACCTGATACTATTAAGCCATTAACAATTATTTTGTTCAGTGATTGCTAATAAATGAAGAATGATGCCAAATCTTAGACTGCGCCAGGGTCCAAAAGTCCACAAAATCACACACACAGCTTTTCCAAATTTGTCATTTGTAGCAGAGAGAAGACTGCTTATACCCAAGGTCCCCTTGCAGAAATCTTAGCACAAACTATTCACTGCAGAGTGGAAATGTTTTAACTTCATAATGTCAACACTGCATTTGAGATGAAAAATAATATGACTAGCTAAATGTGAAAGTCTGGCCTAAGATCCTCAACCCTCAAGTCACATTCATCGAAGGGTGCAGAATAAACAACAGGGGAGTTTCTGTACTGTTGCTATTTTGGAGTGGGATTCAGTCATACACTGGCCAATTCAGGTTGCATTCTTACAGCTGATTTTGTGCTTTTGCACAACAAACCCAATCTCAAAGTTTCCCCCACAAGGAATGTGATGGGAAATGCACTGGGAAATGTAAGATAACACTTGCAAACAAATAAAAATGAGTGCTCAGTTCATAGCTGAGGCTGTCTAACACAAACACACAAACCTTGTACGAACAAATTAGGATGAAGGGGAAATGAGCAAGATGCCTGGAAGCAACCCATGTGGCAGAACCACAATCGCACCCATTGGAGAAATTTCTGTTTTGCCGTTTAGCTCTTAAACTGACAAACCCCTTCCAGACAAAGGAGATGACCGCAGAGCTGATCCCCAGATGAAATTACCACCCAAAGTGCATAGCCAAACACAGTGGGGTGGAAAAGCGTGTTCTCCTTCATGGAGAGCACGTGTTGCGGTGGGGGCCGACAGGATACTCCAAAGTTGTGGGGCGGGCTAATTGATCGTTGGCCACTGATGCGATTGGGGCTTCCCTTGTCGTTGGGAAGAAGTTAATGTTGCCATTTGTTGATTGACAGCCAGAAATGCTAAAACTCCTTGCACGAGGCTAGAGCTTCCTCTTTTCGCCCGTGCATCGGATTGCCCGTCCCCCCCTATATTTAGGGTTGTTCTCTTTGACCTTGCTATGCCTGTCATGGGGTCCCCTGCTCTTGGGGCAGGGGCCCTTTAGGAATTTTGTCCATCTGGCTGATTGGCTGGGGCCATTTGGCTTTTGCCTGCTGCATAGCAAATCGTCACAATTTGTAAGGTTGCGGTGAGGCATTGGTTTATGGTTAGGTTGGTTGAGGGGCATGGATTGGCTGTGCCTGCCCCTCTAATGCTGCTGCTGTAAGGGAGTCCGTTAAAGGAATCAGGGGCTCACTATTGCTTTTGTCCACCCTAGCAAGGGGCTCGGGCCATGCAAAAGCCCCTGGTTGCATTTGGGGAGGGCTGAGGGCAGGTTCCCTGCTCCGTCGCTACCCCCAAGTGCATTCCCCTTTTCTGACTTTTGCAGGTGTGCGGAATGTCAGTCTGTCCCCCATGGGGGGGGGCAGATAGTCGCAACCAATGCCTAAGCAACCACTCACATTTTTGTATTTCAATAAAGTTGTGGCCAAAATTATGCCAAAAACCTTAAACAAATTCCTGTGTGATGTGTGAGTTATTGGGGTGGACCCGGGGACCTCGACATGCAAACACCCACCCATTGGCAGCAGGGGTGCCAACGTGAATAAATTATTTGGGGGGGTAAATATTTTATTGGAGGGGGCCAAAGGGACCCCAGCTCCTAAGAGTTGGTTCCTATGAGTAACAGTCTTCAAGCTGACAACAGTGAAGAAGCCACTTGAATCCTGGATGATAGGTACTTAGGCGATTATTATTCCTGCCAACCTAGCAGTTTGAAAGCATGTCAAAGTGCAAGTAGATAAATAGGTACCACTCCAGCAGGAAGGTAAACGGCGTTTCTGTGCGCTGCTCTGGTTTTGCCAGAAGCGGCTTAGTCATGCTGGCCACATGACCTGGAAGAACTGCGGACAAACGTCGGCTCCCTTGGCCAGTGAAATGAGATGAGCGCCGCAATCCCAGAGTTGTTCGCGACTGGACTTAACTGTCAGGGGTCTTTACCTTTAAGACAGAGTAAGGCGAAATGAGGTTCGATCTGTAGGGCAGGTCTGCATGGCCCATTAGAGACTGGAGACGCCTCCTGTTTTTCTGATGGTTTGGGCCCGCCAAAAGGGGCACTGCCAAGAACCTGACAGGCTATAAAACATGACTCGTGTTTACTTTCTGGGGCCACACACTGCGCTCCATCACCCGATGTTAGAGAATGCCTTGAAAGTGTTAGTGGTTCATGAAGCATTCCCGACATGGCCAAAGGATCCCATACATGACTGAACCATCCCTTGTGTCAAAATTGTCGCCTGTTGTTTACCGAGACGGATATTTTTGTACAGAATTCTATTTTACAGTTGTGTTGACTCAAAAACATTTCTCTCTTCTTTTCCCCCCAGAAGAAAAGTAACGTTTTCTAGATTAAAGCAAAAGAAAAGTACATTGACATGCGGCATGCGTAATGTGTCTATGTTTTTCCCCCCTTCTCCCTCCCCTTACAGGTTCTAAAGAAAAGCCTCTTCAGTGATGTCAACTGAATATGTGCAAGCATCACATGATATCTCAGAAGACAGATTGGATGGGCGAGATACTCACTGTAACCACTTAGGTCAGTCTTCTCAGGGTGATGTCAGCGCTTGCTGTGTAGCGAAAAGGTCTACTTTGCATCATTAAGCGCTGTCCATTGCCATCCCCTCCCCCTTCCCCCCACCCCCTCCATGGAACAACTGCTGCTCTTGAAACCTGATAGACGGTGCCTTCTGGTGACGCATCTGATGCCAGATGGAGTGGCAATGGGTGGGAATGGGTGTTTGGTCGCTTCTCCCCCCCCCTTTTCTTTCTGCTGGGTTCAGCATATAAATATTAGCCAAAGCTCTAGAGACAAATTAATTAAAGATGAAGAAGAAGAAAGGAGAGAAGGAACGCCGAAGCTTTCATCTCGTCTCCTTTCATATTTCTGTGCACATGTTCCACAAAAGCAGGCAAGTGTGCCAACGCAGGATTTTATGCAGCAATGTTGCCTCGGGAGTTTAAACTTTCCTGCAAATCTGTTGTCCTCTTTTGAAAATATGTGCTGTAGACAACAGCATAGGGACTGGGAAGTTTGCATTTAAAGTGATCACATCTAGTTCGCGCTTTTCAAAGCAATGCAGGAACCAAAACACAGTCAGAATTCCATATCCATGTTTCTTTAAAAATTTCAGCGCAAATCCCCAGCCCCATTAGTTGAACAAAAATGCATATACTAGGGTAAAGTGTCATATGAATCTTGGCTGTTTTCCCCCCCTCCTTAAGCTGTAGTTTCAGGGAAGTGCAAAGCTGTTGAGAAAGTAGCTGTTCAAGGCTGAACGTTGTCTGATTATTTTGATAATAGTTGTATACTTTGCTTTGTTTGATGCAGATAACCTTTCCGAACAGTTGCTCAAAAGCTGTGAACTCAAAAAGATACCAAGAAAGGGCAAAGCTCTTCAGGTCTCTCAGAAAAGTGAGCTTGAACAGAAAAAACCGAAGAGAAAAGATACGCCAGCAATTCACACGCCTCCACCAATAGTGGGTGAGAATTCCTGAAATTGCCACTTGAGTTATTGCTCAACCACTTATACCTACATGGATCACAAGCGGAGTAATAATGTGTCTTCTGCTACTGCTTCCTAAACCTCTCTGTAGTGCAGGGATGAGAGGCCCTCAGGGCTTCAGATATTGTTGCTCCAACTCCCATGACCAATAGCAGAGGTGGATTTAGGGCAGTGCCAGCAGATGGGCCACAATGGGCACCATGGGAGGGGGTGCCTTCTCAAAGACTGGTAAGCACTTGCCTGGCTTCAGGAAAGAGGTGTGAGGACTCTGTCAGGGCCCTAAAGTCCTCCTTCCTCCTTCCCGAAGCCAAGCAAGTTCTTACCGGGCTTTGGGGAGAAGGTAGGTGGACTCTAGGACCCCACCAGAGCCTTGTGCCTCCTTCTCAAAGCCCGCGCATCAAATGTTGGCCTCACAAAGGGCAGCATATTACCAAGGCCAGTGCCAGATTTACATATAAGCTAAACAAGCTATAGCTTTTGGGCCCCCCAAAAAAATTTAAAGGAAAAAAAAACTGGATGTACCTTTCCAAAATATAAGATAAAAAAACAAATAAAATAAAACCTACATGCAGCAACAGTGTTTCACTATTCATATACTTCTTCTTAATTGTCTTTCAGTTCAACAATTACTTTAATAAAATACATATTTTGTTATGTCCAAAGGGCTTCAGATACCTATTAAATCCATAAATTATCATATAGCATATATCCGACACAAAAAACAGTGACAATTTGTTGCTGACAAAGGACAGCTGGACATATAAAGGGCCCCATTACCTTCAGTAGCTTAGGGCCTCATCAAGCCTAAATCCGTCCCTGACCAAGGCCGGCCCCTGTCAATGGACAGGGATGATGGGAATTGTAATCAGAGAACATCAGAGAGGGCACAAATTCCCCACCCCACATGTCATGCTATAAGATGTAGGATGCAGTAGATGTCCCAATAATTTTTTCTGCCTGCGTTGGGACAGCAAATGGTGTCCTGTCTGCACATCCCAGTGCATAATGACCCAGGCTGTCCATGTTAATTGGGCACCTGAGGATGACAATCCCTCAAAGCGCAAAGATAGAGTTCAGAGCATTCCTAACTCCTGATCCAACATGCTCGGGGGGTTAGGATGTGGCAAGGCTCATTGCCTGGCTCTGTTCAGCTCCTTCATTGGAGATGGTGGGCCTATGCTGCTGTAAAGGTCCCCACTGTGTCTGAGCACGGGTGGCGCTGTGGTCTAAACCGCTGAGCCTCTTGGGCTTGCCGATCAGAAGGTCAGCGGTTCAAATCCACTCAACGGTGGTGAGCTCCCGTTGCTCTGTCCCAGCTTTTGCCAACCTAGCAGTTCGAAAGCACACCAGTGCAAGTAGATAAATAGGTACCGCTGTGGTGGGAAGGTAAATGGCATTTCCGTACGCTCTGGCTTCTGTCACAGTGTCCTGTTGCGCCAGGAGCGGTTTAGTCATGCTGGCCACATGACCGGAAAGCTGTCTGTGGACAAACGCCGGATTCCTTGACCTGAAAAGCAAGATGAGTGCCACAACCCCATAGTCGCCTTTGACTGGACTTAACCATCCAGGGGTCCTTTACCATTACCTTTACAAATGGGTGGAAGCCATCCCTGCGTGTGTGTAGTGTAAAAACTACACACACACAAAGCACATGAGGCATTTCAAAGGCAGGAAAGGGGATGGAGTTGAGCTGGCCAAGGCTCCTTCTCGGCAGTGGCACCCTCCCAACAGATGTCAAGGAGATAAAGAACTATAAAACTTTTAGAAGGCATCTGAAGTCAGCCCTGTATTGGGAGGTTTTTAATGTTTGACATTTTATTACGTCGTTAAATGTGTTGGAAGCCATCCAGAGTGGCTGGGACAACCCAGCCAGATGGGTGGATATTGTTGTCGTTGTTGTTGTTGTTGTTAAACCAGTCCAGCTACACCAGTAGACCCAAGCCAGGGTTTCTGCTGTGACAACCTAGACCTTATGCAGCAGACATTACAGCTTTTACTGGCCTCCCATGTTCCACCCTGGTCACTGTGAGAAGCAGGGCTATGGGGTAGTGTTAGTGGCTCTGTGACTCTTGACCCATCCAATTGTAGGAGCTGATGTCATGTGTGGGGGGGGGCCTTATTTCCCAAGCGGGGTTTTTGCTAGTGAAAATGGAGAAGACCATTATGGTTTGCAAAAGCTAACGTCCAGTCCTAATGGCGTTTCTGCAGGCATTCTTTCAGACCACTTAATTAGGAGGTGTGACTTCTCTGAGAAACCTCCGAAGGGTAATGGCAGCCCAGCCCTTCAGAAAATGGAAGAGGAACAGAGAAAACCCAGAAGGAAAAACACGCCAGCGATCAATACACCCCCTCTACTTGCAGGTAAGGGAAATGCGAAGGAGAGCACTTCTTAAAGCATCACGCATGGGTTTGAACATGATGTGTCTCAGCGATAGTCTCTGTATTTAAATATCTATTTTGAAAAAATGGCAGGGGGCACATCTGCATGAGCACTGTGTAACTTCAGGTTTGCTAGGCTTGTAGAAACAGAGACTTTTAATTGTTAGAGGAGATGCTCGCATATTATGTTTTCACTTTTCTATCTTTCCACTTTTCCTGGACCCATAGTGAGCGTTTCCCCTTTCTACTTACTATTCTCTTCCTTTACAATTCTGTATCTATATGTTCACTGGAATACTCATCCCCACCCCCAATCCAGTGAACAAAGGTGTGACTTGTTAATGGCCTTTCAAGACAAAACCAGGCTAATTTTCTTACATCGAAACCCTGCACTGGGAAACTTTTGACCCTCTGAAATGATGATGGACTATAGCTGTCATCATCCCTGACCATTGGTCATGCAGGTTGGGACTGATGGAAGATGAAATCCAACATCACCTGAAGGGCCACAGGCCCCCAGCCCTGCTAATGCACCAACGGTAGCCAATATGGCATCCTCCAGATGTTGTGGACTACAACTCCCATCATCCCTGACCATTGGCTGGGGTTGGTGGGAGTTGGAGCCCCTCAACAGGTGGAGGGCACCATGTTCTCTATACCTGTTATGCACACTGACTTGGGAATAAAGAGTTCTAAGGAATTCCTTAAAACTCCACCTGGAAACATACACTAGAAACAGTCTAAGCACCTTGCCGTCATTTGTCTTGAGTTAACACGGAGCAAGTCACCCCGGGACTCGCCACTACCAGGAAAAACTGTACAGAAAAAACATGGCTGACCCCATGCAAACAACTGTCTGATTCCTTAGAGAAGCAGTTTTTTTGTGTACAATATTAACTTTAATTGCACAACCTGAATTTGGCAGCATGTGCTGGGAGCCCAATTTGAAAATAGCAACAGTCTGGGAGCATCCTGAGAGGACATTTTTATTTCCTTTCAGCACTGTAGAATGATGGTTGGTGTTGGAATCTATCACCTACTAAAACATATGTTCTCTTAACCACTTATTCATCGCAAAGAAATTACATCCCTTTCATGTTTCGACTTTAATCCAATCTGGTCATTTCATGCAGCATTTTCCTTGGTTAATACCAGGAAAGCGTTCTCCTTTGACTGGAGCGCAGAAGTGAACAAAGCCATTCTGTGTGGCGCTGCTTCTTTTTCTCCTTCTTTGGACTTCATGAAGTGCTTCATTATTTGAAAGATTTTTCATAGCAGAAAAGACGGGAAATGGCGAGGCCTAATTGAATCAACACAGCCAGCCACTAAACCCAAAAGGCCCACTGACAGCAATCTACAGGAGGCTGATTTATTAGTGAAACTTGCTTGGCCTCAGACTGTGATGTTCCTCAATCAGTTTATATGACTCACTAACTTTTGACAAGCAAGGAAGAATGTACAGGGTATTTGTTTTGTTTTCCAATGGAAGTCAGTAAACTCACAAAAATGGCAATTATTGCCCCCCTTCCCCGGCCATCTTTCTCACAACAATCTTTTAAGTTGGTTAGCAAGAAGAAGAAACTTAGCTGGTTTTCAATTACATTCTGCATACAAATTTGACTCTTTAGCATTTGACAAAGAACAGCGGATGTAACTCTTTGTGTCTGAAAATCGAAAGATTTCTGCTAACCTAGCATTCTGGCTGCAAGCTCACCTGGAGTAAGTTGTGCTGCTTAAACCTGTTGTGGAGCACAGTTCTTATTCCTATTCACTCAGAAGTAAATCCATATGTGTTCAGTGGGGCTTACTCTCAGGAAAGTGTGCATAGGATTGCAGCCAAGAGCAAAGGATTTTGCTGCGTTGGATCTTCTTGCCTTCAAAAGCAGTAAGGGAATCTCACAACCCAAATGTATAGAATAGTTCATTTTTAAGGCAAGCAATCTGTCAGAGATGCCAATCTTAATATTATTTATAATATAAAACAAATGAACATGGAGAGAGGCGCATTTCCATCTTCCTTATAACTGGCAGGTGGGCCATGAATGTTCTCTCTTTTATTGAGACTTGCGTTTTAGAAATTGTTGGGCACAGACAACCATGAGGAAGTCAATGCGAGTCCCCCAAAAACTCAATGGAAAATTTTAATTATAGCCTGCAAGTACACAGCTACAATTTTCAGATTCTGTAACAAACCAGAAGATATTTATGGGAATGTTTTCATACACCTTCTGTGTTGCTAGGAGGTTAAACCAGGACATAGGGAGGACATTCTGGAGGTTTCTAGAATGAGCCACATGGCTTGGGTGCGGTTTCCAGGACTTGGATCAATGTGGGACATCCTTTAGACTAGCAGAGCTTGGCCACCCAAATATGTTAAAACCCCAGTATTTGGGGAGGAAATCCACAAGCAGGATGAACTGCCTAATGCTGAACACAACCATCTCAAAGAACTTTAATTCTTAATAGACAAAGATGGGGAAAACACCCAGTGTATGAACATCTATTCACAAATGAGGAAATGAGGTGATGTGTCTTGCATCCCACCCAAATGCCAAACATCATACAGTGGTACCTCAGGTTAAGTACTTAATTCGTTCCGGAGGTCCGTTCTTAACCTGAAACTGTTCTTAACCTGAAGCACCACTTTAACTAATGGGGCCTCCTGCTGCCGCCGCGCTGCCGGAGCACAATTTCTGTTCTTATCCTGAAGCAAAGTTCTTAACCTGAAGCACTATTTCTGGGTTAGCAGAGTGTGTAACCTGAAGCATATGTAACCTGAAGCGTATGTAACCCGAGGTACCACTGCACTCAGTTAGCCAAGCAGTTGTTGGTTTTGGGTAATCAAATCAGCTGAAATTGCTAACTATTCCTAAAGCTTAGGAGAATTGATATAATTTTAAAAGCATAGCTGTGCATATATAAAATACCAAGGTGAAGCAGGTAGCCATATATCCCGTTTTTTGATGGGCTTAAGTATTTAAGGCAGCAATGCTGAATTTCATACAGAGGGCAAAAAGAGATTTAGAGCAACTCAGTAATGCAAAGGCTGATTATACAAAATCAGCTCAAATACGTTTCTTAGTTTTGAAATATAAGCAGCCTTATACCCTTCTGGCTAGAAACATTTTTTCTCATATATTGCCCCCCCCCCCCGCTTTGCAGGGAGTTTTCCAGGTGAAGCATTGGTACCCACTTCCACCTGCAGTTTAAAGTGGTGCTAACCAGGCTACCATCTCAGCATTCGATCACCTCACAAAACAGAGTCTCCTAAAGTCATGTTTAATTCCCCTACCATCATTCAGAGCTGTTCCGCCTGGCCCTTGGTTTGGACTCGGTCTGACCCTTATGTTTCCCTCCCCTTATGGTCTTGATTTATCAGCTACTTTAAAATGAGGCTGCATATTAAATTGCATTTTAACCTGTATTTTAAATTGGTCCCCCCCCCTCTTTTTTCCCCTATTATGTTTTTACTGTGATTTTATTGGTGTTAGCCGCCCTGAGCCCGGCTCTGGCCGGAGAGGGTGTGGTATAAATAAAATTATTATTATTATTATTATTCCAAAATCTATATTATAACAATACCTTTATTAGGACAACCAAAATGTCACAGAACATTGTATAAGGTTTTCAGAAGTCTTTGCCAGGCTAGATCATCAAAAGTTAGGCTGTTGGCCAAGCTAGCTGAGGTTGATGGGAGCTGCAGGCCAAGAACATTGGGAGCAGGTGCACCAGCTCCTAGGGACGGAGGGGTCTTCAGCCCCTTCAATATTGGCTGACATGGGGCAGACCCCCTCGATGTTGAGGGGGTGGTAGAGGCCGAGCATGGTGCAGTTCAACGGCTGAATCCTCCTGAGTACAAGAGAGGAAGCTGCGCTGTGAATAGCTCCCCTCTGGGCCTCCTCCCAACAATGCGCAGGAGTGTGACAGTGTCTCTGATCAGTAGGGTGGGTGCACAACGATTCTACATCCCTCTCCACCCCCATCATCCAGCCGGGACACTGAGGTCCAGCGCTGAGGGCCTTCTGGCAGTCCCCTCGCTGCGAGAAGTGAGGTTACAGGGAACCAGACAGAGGGCCTTCTCGGTAGTGGCACCTGCCCTGTGGAACACCCTCCCACCAGATATCAAGGAAATAAGCAACTGTCTTACTTTTAAAAGACATCTGAAGGCAGCCCAGTTTAGGGAAGTTTTTAATGTCTGATGCTGTATTGTTTTTAATATTCAGTTGGAAGCTGCCCAGAGTGGCTGGGGAAACCCAGCCAGATGGGCGGGGTATAAATAAATTATTATTATTATTATTATTATTATTATTATTATTATTATTTGGGAGGGGGCAGCAGAAAGCCAATGAAGCTCCTTTAAGTGTTCTGCCCTCTTATCCTGGATCTCCCATGTTTCATCTCCTTTGGACCTGAAGGTTCTGAAGCTGCAAATCTGATTTCAGTGAAATTTCTGCACATACACAAGTCACTAGTCATCAGATCTCTTTCCGTCACCATGGGTAACCTAGCAAGTTTAACGCCCAGAGAGTGATTGGTCAAAGGCGAATGGTCCACAGAGATATTTAATCTAAGCTTCTTCTTTTTTGCTTGTTTCAGGTATTAAACTACTTAAAGAAGATCAGCAGACTGTGATTGTTGAAGATGAAGAAAAGGAGGGAGAAACTTCAGCTTTTTAGATTCTTGCCATATTCTCATGTGTGTGTGTTTTGTAAATAATTTTGTGCAATTGAGTAGTATTAGTATTTTTCCAGGTTTGTGTTTTTTTTAATCAGAAATATAACCATGCTGCCTTCAGACATGCTTGCTCAGAGATGTGTAATTAAATATAGATTATGTGGACCATTTTCTTTCTAGATTATGAAGCACTAAAAATATGAAATTTGTATACAGTGCTTTAAGAGGCTGGTGCAACTAATCGAAGAAAAGACAACATTTACAGGCCAGGGCAGTGACACTTGTCTTATGAGCTTTTCCTCTGAGCACTGCTAGATCAACCCACGAAAAAGATCAGTATCATTTTTTTTCTGCTGAGTCCTTTGTATAAACAGAGTCCTTTCACATGGCTTTTGTTGTTGTTGAGAGAGTTGTTCTATGATGGGGTAAACACAGGCTTTTTTATTTCACATCTTAGCAAATTTAATTAATTGCCAACAAACAGTAACCGTCAAGTATTTTTCACTAACCCTCTCTCCCCCCTCCTACCTCTTCATCTCTCCCCCCCCCAAAAAAAATATATTAGTGGTTCCAGGGGGCTTTGTGCTTCCGTCCAAATCCAACAACTGCAAGAATATCCACTTTCCAGTGGTCTCCCAAAAACAACTGGTGATGCAGATGTCCATCAGAACATGTTTGAATTCTTGATGGTGAAGCCTAGTGCCGTGTCTGAAATTTCCTGGGGAAATTGAGGCATAACAGCCAGCACGCCTGCCCACAAATACAGAATTTGTTTTAATCATTTGTTATGCTTCATCCTTGAGACATCTTCTCCAACAGTAATAATAATAATAATAATAATAATAATAATAATTTATTATTTATACCCCACCCATCTGGCTGGGCTTCCCCAGCCACTCTGGGCAGCTTCCAACAAAACATTAAAATACAGTAATCCATCAAACATTAAAAGCTTCCCTAAACAGGACTGCCTTCAGATGTCTTCTAAAAGTCTGGTAGTTGTTTTTCTCTTTGACATCTGGTGGGAGGACGTTCCACAGGGCGGGTGACACTACCGAGAAGGCCCTTTGCCTGGTTCCCTGTAACTTGGCTTCTCGCAGCGAGGGAACCACCAGAAGGCCCTTGGCGCTGGACCTCAGCGTCCAGGCAGAATGATGGGGGTGGAGATGCTCCTTCAGGTATACTGGACCGAGGTCGTTTAGGGCTTTAAAGGTCAGCACCAACACTTTGAATTGTGCTCGGAAACATACTGGGAGCCAGTGTAGGTCTTTCTAGACTGGTGTTATGTAGTCTTGGCAGCTGCTCCCAGTCACCAGTCTAGCTGCCGCATTCTGGATTAGTTGTAGTTTCCGGGTCACCTTCAAAGGTAGCCCCACGTAGAGCGCACTGCAGTAGTCCAAGCGAAAGATAACTAGAGCATGCACCACTCTGGCGAGACAGTCTGCGGGCAGGTAGGGTCTCAGCCTGCGTACCAGATGGAGCTGATAAACAGCTGTCCTGGACACAGAATTGACCTGTGCCTCCATGGACAGCTGTGAGTCCAAAATGACTCCCAGGCTGCGCACCTGGTCCTTCAGGGGCACAGTTACCCCATTCAGGACCAGGGAGTCCTCCACACCCGCCCGTCTCCTGTCCCCCCAAAACAGCACTTCTGTCTTGTCATGATTCAACCTCAATCTGTTAGCCCCCATCCATCCTACAACCACCTCATCTACTACTTATCTTCCAGACATTAGTTCAACACCACCTGCTATTCATCCTTTTTGCCTGGAGCACGCAGTCCCTCCTTCCATCATGAGATCATTCATCCCAAGTTGCCCTTTGTCTTCATTCACAGATGTTTGACAATATTCTGTTGCAACCATCTGCCAACGAAGGGAAACCAATGCTTTGGGTTGGGTAAGATCACAGTGCACCTGTCAAGTTTACATTTCTGGCAGGTAAAATTTGCAAGTTTGGCCACTACTTCTGAATGCTTGATTCCTGCCATATTTCAGACAAATAAGTTCAGGGTTTGTGTGCCAGGAACATCCAATTTGGAGCAGTTTATGAAGTTTCCGCTGCCCTGTTGACTGTTGCTGTTGTTTTAACTATGTTTTTGAGTCAAACTCACAGGATGACCTTTGCTAAGACTCCTGCAAAATTTTACCTAGGTTCAGGAGTTATCCATCAAAAACCTTATTTTAGTTTCCATTTCACATTTGTTATTATCTCTCAAAGGCCCCCCGAGGATACTTTGCTTAGGGTTGCCATGTGTTCGGGATTCCAAGGGTGAAATCACCATGGGGGCGGGCTTAAAAACCGCCAAAATGCCCGGGATTTTGCAAACAGAACCGGAGAGGGAGAGAGAGAGAGAGAGAGAGGAGCCAGCAGGCTGCGTGAGGATCACTCTTGTTCCTTTTCCTATCTCTATGGTGCATGCTGGAATGGGGCTCATCACTGAATGGGGCAGATCAGCTGATGACTGGCTCTCATGTCAGGGAAAGTCCTAGTTTCAATTCATTACTTTAGCCATTGCATGATTTTTTTTTTATTATTTTTTTTAAATAATTTTTATTAAAGTTTCAATAAAAAGTTGAACAGAAAAAACATAAAAAAGAAATACACAAATACGCAATACAAATTCCAAAAAAAGAAAACAAAAACGAGAAACAAAAAACAACAACAAAAAAGAAACAGAACAATTAAAAACAATATCACCTTTTCATTTCCCTTTTTTAAATTTACTTATTTTCTGGACTTCCTCATACCTCCCTCTTTTGTATTCCAGTCCAAATTGTTCCTCCAGCAATTTCTTTTCCACCTTTTAATCCCAGTCTTTATTCTTAGTGTAATATAGCATTAAAAATTTACCTCTTAAGTACCAAATTTCCCTTTCCTTTAACTTATTTACTCCTAATCTTTAATCTTGATGTAATATAGCATTAAAATTTTACCTCTTAAGTACCAAATTTCCGTTTCCTTAAACTTCTTTAATCCTGATCTTTAATCTTAGTCTGTCTTATAATTTTATCCTGTACAGCTGGAAACCACTTATTTTCAATCCAACATCACTCTAACATTCCTTAATTTTGCAATGTTTCCTTAATTTTGCAATCTTCTTCCATCGCCTCTTCTCCCTGGTCACGGATAGCAATTGCATGATTTTAAAGGAGAGGAAAGGCAGGATGTCTCATTGGTGAGTTGCATTTGGGGCAGGAAAAGATTCTGCAGCTGTCTGGGGGGCAGCACTTCAAGGTGGATTGGAAAAGTGGTGAGAAATCCTTCCCCCACCTGTTTAGAACAAGTCTCTCTCTCTGTTTTTCTTTCTCTTTCTCCCTTCCCCTCTCCACTTTCTCCTCTTGAAGTTTTGCAAAGTCTGCGAGCTCTTAACTTTGCACTCCCCTTCCTCCTGTGCAAGAGGAAGTGGTTCCAGAATTAGTTGGGAATTATTATAGAATTAGGCCCAGGAGCCTCTGCCTCATTTGACTCTTTAAAGAAAGAAAGAAAATGACTAGGAATCACCTCTGATTCCTGATTCATTCTGGATCTGAATTGGTTGCAGGCAGTGCTGGACCAGCTGTTGCAGATCATCCTCTTTTGCAGATTTCGCCTAGGAATTGGGAGTTGACCCTGAGCAGGCAGTGCCCTTTATTTTAAGAAAAACCTGCAGGTATTCAGCACGGAGTTGTTAACAGTAAGTGCCACACTTTTAACATGGCGAGGGGGTTAGGAAGAGGCCAAGAGGACTGATTGTTGTGTTTGTTATCACTTAAACTTATCCCATCGACACAGCCCTTATATCTTTTGCGAGGAAGGCATCTCTCTGTATGACGCTAAGCTATTTAAAAACCGCTGTTATTGAGTGGGGAATCAAGTCCGCAGTTGTTCATGTTAATCCAAGTATTCTGGTTGTGCGATGCAGTTTGTTTATTATCTTCATTTGTACAAGTGATTCGGTTACATTTTCCTCATTGTCAAATGCAGATATTATGTAGCCCTCTGAATTAGCATTTGATGAGAGCAATCCATCTTTGCAACTCTGGATTAGAAAATGCAGTGCCATCTGTAAAGGAACTGTCTATGAGTGAAGCCTCTGTAGTTTGTGCATAGTACTAAATGCAATGCATACTGTTAAAGGGGTAGTGGAATGTGAATCATTTGGGTAGATGATTGTTTTAAACTTTGGTCTTCTTTTTGGATGATCAAAACCTGATTCTCTGCTTTTGAACATACTTTTTCAGCTTATGTTTAGTGATCCTTTCAAAATATTCACGTATTTTCAAGAATGGCTTGAATTGTCCAGTCTTTCAGGAATATTATGCATTGTGACAATTGCATTGACTCATATGGTTTTATTACTCGAAGTGTGGAAATAGCATGGCAATATCCTTCCTTATTCATCACATACAGAAGAACATTCTGACCACGGCAAAAACATTCACCTTGATGGTTTTCTCTCTGTGTGTCCTTTGGGCTTTGCAGACCAGCTCATTAGGAAACTGGGTTTTCTTTTTAAAATGGGAGGTGGGGTGGCAAATGTCCCAATTATTTTGTCCTAATCAAAAGTGTGAACTTTGAAACAAAAATCAAGCAGCGTTAATTTTAGTGCAGTCCCCTTTGTCCTCTTTTAGCTATGTACTTGCCATTATAAATTTATTAGTTCAAACTGATCATTGGAAGTTTCCAAGTTCATTTGCAATGCTGAAGGCTAGTAACATGATACTGGAATGAAATTAATGGCAACATTCTTTGAACCCTATAACGCTTTAACAGTATACAGCTTTATTTTGGTCGTGTAGATTTCTAGAACTTTGGTTTATGAAGGTCTGTTACCAGTTGTACCATTTGCACCTCAGGTCTTCTGCTCTGAATAATTTGTTGTGTTTGTTTTTAAAGAGCTTCTAGCATCTGTCAATCAGCTTTTCTTCTCAGTGCAAGCCAAGCCAGGGCTTTCCCCCCGCCCCCCAGCTGGAACTCACCTGAACTCAGTTCTGGCCCCTATCAGGTGGGCACCATTGCCATTAAACGAGAACAAGGGAGGCATTTCTGGTGAGTTCCAGCACTTCTTTTTCTAGAAAAATAGCACTGAGTAAAGCCAACCTATTGATTCTTTCTCCCCTAGCAAAGGGTTTTCTAATCTCTTTGCTTATTTGGGCTTTTGTTCTTCAAGTTGGTGTCTTCAAGGAAAACACTGAAGACTGCTGGAAAAGAGATGTAGAGAATTTACGTGGGTCTGTGTTCGTATTATGCCTAGAATTCCAGTGTTTAGAATACTTAGAGATGCTTCAGAACAATTACTACTATTATAATAAATGTCTTGAAATTATAGAGTCACTCTTTATTGTTTCATGAACTCCAGTTAAAATGTAAAGATCTAGTGTATTTTTACCAGAATACCAAAGCAGCTGGTTAGGAAAATGATGCTACCATATTCTTTCAACTTCCCTCTGCTCTCCTATACAGTGATACCTTGGTTTACAACCACAATCCGTTCTGGAGGTCCGGTTGTAAACCAAAACAGGTTGTAACCCAAGGCACGCTTTCGCCAATGGGGCCTCCAAAAGAAAATTGGTTGTAATTTTTTTTAAAAAAAAGTTGTAATCCAAAACAAGGGACACACACGTCAGGGTTTGACGTAGTTGTAATCCAAAATGGTTGTAATCCAAAACGGTTGCAAACCAAGAAGAAGAGTTTGGATTTGATATCCCGCTTTATCACTACCCGAAGGAGTCTCAAAGCGGCTAACATTCTCCTTTCCCTTCCTCCCCCACAACAAACACTCTGTGAGGTTAGTGGGGCTGAGAGACTTCAAAGAAGTGTGACTAGCCCAAGGTCACCCAGCAGCTGCATGTGGAGGAGCGGGGAAGCGAACCTGGTTCACCAGATTACGAGTCCACCGCTCTCAACCACTGCACCACACTAGCTCTCCAACCAAGGTACCACTGTACTCATTTTCTGTAGGTGTCCTCAACACTCAATATTTTACAAAGCAAATGGCTCAGTTCAGACACCATCCCAAGCCATGGCTTGTGCTACCCATAGTCAGTGCATTTTTATTTTTGCTGGTACCCACCTGTATGTAGGGCTGTCACCTCTTTTTTTTTTTTTCCTGTATTGGCAACCATTTTGTGCTGGCGCTTTCTCAAGATATATATTCCTCCCCCCCCCCCCAAAAAAGCAATGCCCATAGTCAGTAGTCCAAACCATAGTTTCAAACTTCCAAATGTACTCTTATGGTTTAGAGCTGCCTGCTTTCAGTTCCTGTTTGGTAAGGCTTCAAACGTTTTATTCTGTCTCTGTGGTGCAGGCTCTTGATTGGGGCAGCGATTTTGTGGATTGCCAGTGGTTTGTGAATTTAGGAGTTAGCAGAAAGTGTGGTTTGCAAACTAGCTTCTTTGCATGCAGAATGTGCCAGGTTGAATCAGCCTGGGAATATACTTTGTCTGAAATCCTGCCAGTCAGCTAGATGGCCCAATGCGCTGACTTAGCATGTGAAGGCTTCCTATGTTCCAAGCTTTGTTTTCCTGGTTTGGCAGTCCCACTGCAAAAGCACTTTTTGTAAATTGGTGTAAGGTCAGACATAACACCAAACCATGGTTTGTTGTTACATCTGAACGTAACCAATGACGGTAAAATCCTAAAGTGTCATGAATTAATGTAGATAAATTTGAAATTACAAATATCAAGACAAAAAAGGGGGGTTGCAAGAAACAAGGTTAGAAAAAAGCACCTCATAAGATGTGTTTGTTCAGGACAGCTATGTTTCCACCTGAATTTCAAGTTTTTGTTTTTTTCTAATTCTCCATCCAATTCAGTCTGTGATGATATTTAACATTTTGGGGGGGAATTCAAAGTATTTTAAATATGTACTGTGTATTATTTCACTGCTATGTAGGTTGTGAGAAATCGCTCTAGAGCATATAACAGCTACTTGAGCAATAAAATAAAACAAAATTGTGCATTTTGCACCCTACAGCTATGACCACAAGATGGGAGTGTTGTATCATGAAGAACAGCACTACTTGCAGGTTGCAACTGATTTGGGCTGCTTAAGATTAAATGATTGTCCCATTTTTCTACTACAAAACCACCGCTTTCCAAAGCCTAACTAAATACACCATCGTTTGGAAGAGTTGTGGAATTGAAATGTGATATCATCTAGATATGCAAACAGGAAAAGGGAAGCCTCCGCACAAACAAACTCACAAATAAACAAGGCTCATTTGGAAGAATAAAATATTGCATTTTATACAACCTTTTCTGCAGATAATCTAAGTGACACTTTACAAGCAATGTCAAAAATATTTTCTCCTTTTGTCATGAAATTCATAAGACATAAAATCACATTCTCTCCCCCTCCCCCTAATTTTACAAGGCTTTGTGTGCAAGGATATAGGCAACTCTCCTATTAAAGAAGAAAAAGAGTGGATTCGGCAAAGCATGATGCCTGGGGGGAAGGGGAACACAGTTCTGAGGTGCTACAAAGGATTGGGCTGGACAGTGACTTTAAGACATGGAGCCATTCCACTGAAAAGAATATCTTGCCCATTTGTAGGCCTAGAACGCACATGTTCTCAGGAGAAGTTTTCCTGACGATGTGGTTTTCCGTGACAACTCCAGTTGACTTGCTGTCTTCCCATTTATTAAAATTCATTTGCTTAAAGAGAATGAGGAAGGCAGACAAACTGGCAGAAAAAACCCTGACCGGATAAGGATTTCCCCTTTTCTCTCCATCCCCTCGCCTGCCTCCTGAGCTCTGGCAAGGAGTTCATTTTACAGGTTTTTCTGAATCAGGCCTAGAAGCCTACACAGCTGGACCTGAGCTTCTGCCCAGACATGTAGCTGTTCCAGAGGTCCTAGACCTGGAAGGAGGAGCAGGGCCTGTTCAAGACATTTTGCTGCCTGAAGCCATGAAGTCTTCCCTTGGGGAAGGACGTTAGCTCACTGGTAGAGCTGCTGCTTTTGCATTCAGAAGGCTCCAGGCTCCAGAGGCAGAGCCAGGAGACACAAAGGATATGATCTTCATATTTATAGGATGCCAGGTTGCATTGCAGCCACTTGCAAGTCAGATATGTCTAGACACAGGGCCACACAGAGCTTTCTCCCTCTCCAGGCAAGTGAAAAAGACATTCCAGGCTGAGAAAAGCACTCGAGGACAAGTGAAGTTCTGATGCCTAGAGAGATTCTCAAGGGCCAGACAGACCTGGAGTGGATCCCACTCAGCCTAGAGCCCTGCTCTAGGAAAACTGTACAGTCGTACCTTAGTTGACTAATGGAATCCATTCCGGGAGTCCGTTCGACTTCAGAAAATGATCAAAAACCAAAGCGTGGCTTCTGGTTGGCTGCAGGAAGCTCCTGCAGCCAATCAGAAGCCATGTTGGATGTTCGGGTTCCAAAGAACATTCGCAAACCGGAACACTCACTTCTGGGTTTGCGGAGTTCAGGAGCCAAAACGTTGGAGTCGCAAGGCGTTCGTCAGCCAAGGTACGACTGTAATAGAATTGTATAATCATAGAATTGCAGAGGTGGAAGGGACCAGGGGGCATCTAGTCCAACCCTTCAATGCAGGAAACTCAGCTAAGGCATCTACGACGGATGGCCATCCAACCTCTGCTTAAAAACTGCCAAGGAAGGAGAGTCCGCAGCCTCCCGAGGGGAGACCGTTATCATATATGAATGTCTTGCTTTTGGTCTGCCTGTTTATAAAACGATACTGCAACACAATCACCTCAGTTCTGGAAATAAAGCCTCGGTTGTTTCTAAATTGAAGGAGCAGATGAGAGGGGAGAAATAAAAATGAATTGAAATGGAGACCTATGCATGAAGGTACATTTTTTCACCTTTGGTGGACGTGCCCAAAGATTAAGGCTTTCTGGGAGATGATATATAATGAACTAAAAAAGGTATTTAAATATACCTTCTTGAAGAAACCAGAGGCCTTCCTCCTGGGCATAGTCGGCCAATCGGTGTTAAAAAAGGATAGAACTTTCTTTATGTATGCTACAACAGCAGCAAGAATACTCATTGCAAAGCATTGGAAGACACAAGATCTACCCACACTGGAGGAATGGCAGATGAAAATGATGGACTACATGGAATTGGCGGAAATGACTGGCAGAATCCGTGACCAGGGAGAAGAGTCGGTGGAAGAAGATTGGAAGAAATTTAAAGACTATTTACAGAAATATTGCAAAATTAATGAATGTTAGAATGATGTTGGATTGAAGTTAAGTGGTTTCTAGCTGTACAGGTACAAAAGAATATGGAAAAATTGGTTTTTAATATGTAAAAATTTAAAGTTATAATATATCAAGATTAAAGATTAGGATTAAAAAGGAGGGAAAGGAATTGTTGGATTAACAAATTTAATTGGAATACAAAAGAGGGAGGTAGGAGGAGGTCCGGGAAACAAGTAAACGTAAAAGAAGTGAGGAAAAGATGGAATTGTTTTTAACTGTTTTTTCTTTTTTTTCTACTTTGTATTTTTCCTTTTCATTGTTAATTTTTTTTTACTAATGTGATTTTTTTTTCCTTTGAAACTTTAATAAATATTATTTTTTTAAAAAAAGAAAAAAAAAGAAATGGAGACCTATGCAAATGTGAACTCTCTCTTCTTTTTGTAGAAAGGTCCCATTAAGTACAATATCCAGGTGAAACTGGCCTAGAGACAGATTGGCTGCTGGATTTGTCTAAGCTTAGATTACTATCTGTTCCCTAATGTTCTGCACTGGTGGCACCAGAAATATACATATATAGTGGACGCTCAGGTTGCGAACGTGATCCGTGCGGGAGGCACGTTCACAACCTGCAGTGCTGCGTCTGCGCACATGTGGGTCACGATTTAGTGCTTCTGCGTATACGCGAGTGCCGAAACCCGGAAGTAACTCGTTCCGGTACTTCTGGGTTCGGCGCGGTGCGTAACCCGAAAACACACAACCTGAAGTGTCTGTAATCCGAGGTATGACTGTATGTGTGTGTATTGTGGGTGTTAAGCTCCTTCTGGGATAGTTTTTCTCACCTGCGGCTCCCAGACCACATCCTGGGAAACAGCTAAACCAGGTGAGAGTAGCCCCTGCATGCAAAGACACATTGGGAAAAACCAAACAACCCACCCTCTGTAAAACTAGATTCAGGTCGCCTCTCTGAAAAGGTAATTGACTGCCAAAGTTGGCCATGCCAGTCACCTATTATGGGCTATGTGGGCAGATACAGTCCAGAAATAATAACTCAGTCAGGACCCAGTCCTGAATGCAGACGCAGGGATTTTGTGCACATGGATGAAGGGATTTGATGCTACTATATGCAGGGCATCCTGGTGAAACAGGATGAATTATGACTAGGAAATGCCTCCATTGCACATGTTACATTATATACATTTCCCCAATAATTTGTGCAGCTTTCAAAGTGCTTTTTGCTCTGGTTCCAAAATGTCCTCCATTAATAACTGGCTATCAGGTGGGGGGTAGGGCAGGGATACAGGGACGACGCTTTCCTTTCCCGTCTATTTCTTATTCCAGTGCTGTGAAATGTGCTGGATCTTCTTCATTCTGCCCCTCTGATCAAGCAGCTTGTACTTCACCAAGTAGTCCTCCGTTTTCTTGGGGAAAGGTGGGAAGGTGGTGCTTGTGGAGGCGTAACTGGCTTTCTTGAAATGATGGGTTGGAGGTTTGAGGGCTGGAGAGGAAGAAGATAAAAGCAGAAGCAAGTCAGACGAATCAATTGCTGGCACCTGCAGATTTCTCCCTCTGTATCCCACAGCCACACAGTAATCCAAATATGTAAAAGGAAGAGCAATATTAACTTTGAAAAAAACAAAAACCCACCTATGCATAAGTAATGGTGATCTGTCTGAAATTCCTTCAAATTTGATCACATTTAAAGCTGAATTCATCAAGCTTGCACAAAATGAGAACTCAGACATAGGACTTGGCTACATTAGTCAGATTATAACATTATAAATTTGTTATAACAATGTGACACCAGATGGCACTGTAGAGCTGAAATCGAAAGTCAAAGATAATTTCCATTTTATAACGGTTTTAATAGCATTTTTATAGCTGTGTAGATCCAGCCATAGTCTTCCTTTGCAATTCCCACTTACCTGACTTTTGCGATGCTGTTCTCCAGCCAACCAGTGTTTACAAAAATGCAAATATTAGGTAAAAGTGTGCCTAAAAATGAATATATTACTGAACACCAACATACAAAAATACATTATATGGGGAGAAATTGCTTGCAAAAATATGCTTATGAGGAGAAATTTGCACTGAAATGCTGAGGAATTTTCATGATGATTTTAAAAATAAATAAAAAATCCACAAATTGCTACAGAAATGCGGAGAACCAGATGTAAAATGGGAAAACTTGAGAAACTCAGAGAACCAAAATGGACCAATCCTTCCATCCCTATTCACCTCACTTAGGCGAGGGGTGGATGACTTGTGGCTTTGCAACCACGTGTAGCCCTCAGCTTAATTTCATGTGGCGTCAGCCTCATTTCAAAAGCCACCTGCAAATGGCTTCTGGGAAGAATAATTTGTCCTTCCCTTGACATTTTGCTGAGCAGGGAGGAGGAGAGAGAGAAAGAGAGGGGAGAGAAAAGGGGCAGTCCCATCCACAACTGGCTCTTTCCCTAACTACCATGGGCTTTGGCCCTGCCCACTGCCAGCCTGTGGCTCAATATAAGCAAGCAATGAGAGTGAGACCTCCAATTTTGCTCAGCAAATATGAAATAAATGTTTGCAGCTGCTGATGTAAGACCAGGAATGGCTGAGCAGCTCAGACTTGGCTCTTTCTTGCTACTAAATGCAGGATCAATAAGGCTTGCACCACCCTTGTGCCACCTTGGAAACAACTCACTCAGAGGGCAACTTTCCTCTGGGAAAAGTTTCCAAAGTAGCAAGTGTAGTGAATCCGTGGATGGCCTAGATCCGAATTCCCATTTGCAAGTCACTTTGTCAGCGCACTTCAGCAAACTCACAAAGTTGTTGCAAGGACAAAATGGGATAATTCCACATAGGCTTTGGAGGAAGCATGGAATACAAATACCAGAGCAAAGTCCGATCTGATCCTGTCCTCACACCATGGCCAAGCCGCTGCCTCTTAGATGCCTGCAATTGGGTCGTGGAACCAACTAGCCTTCTGCCTACCTGCGAGTCCCAGAATGTTAGCCGTGCTAATGAACTTCAGTGGGTCTACTCTTGAGTAGAACTAATATTGCATAAAATCAGTTGTCAACTTATTTTATGAGGGAAGGGAGTTGCACCAGCCCCCATCCTGTTGACTTGGGTCATCCTTTTCTGCACGTTGAGTCACAATATGAGATGGTTATGGATTTGGCAATGTAAAAAACTGCTCACACAGATTCATCTATGCAGACATGCAGTAGTTCTGTCTATGCATGCAAAGATCTTGTCAGATAAGCAGTGCCAGATTTACGTATAAGCTAAACAAGCTATAGCTTCGGGCCCCACTCTCTTGGGGGCCCCAAAAAAATTTAAAGGGGAAAAAACCAGATGCACATTTCCAAAATATAAGATAAAAAACAAATAAAATAAAGCCTACATACAGCAGCAGTGTTTTGTGTTGCGTTGGCTCCTATGATGTAAGTAATGGGCCCCGCCTGCTAGCCTGCTCCCTAAAATATCACTGGTTTGCTCATTTCTATATATAGGGTGCCTGCATTCTGCATGAATTAGTTGCATGGCAACATGTGCAAATGGCTTTAGACACCTATTAGATCCATAAATTACCATATAGCATACAGTGGTACCTCAGGTTAAGTACTTAATTCGTTCTGGAGGTCCGTTCTTAACCTGAAGCACCACTTTAGCTAATGGGGCCTCCTGTTGCCGCTGTGCCGCCGGAGCCCGACTTCTGTTCTTATCCTGAAGCAAAGTTCTTAACCTGAAGCACTATTTCTGGGTTAGCAGAGTGTGTACCTGAAGTGTATGTAACCTGAAGCATATGTAAGCTGAGGTACCACTGTATATTCAACACAAAAAACCAGCAACAATTTGTTGCTGACAAAGGACAGCTGGAAATATAAAGGGCCCCATTACCTTCAGTAGCTTAGGGCCTCATCAAGCCTGCAGATAAGTGGTGACAGTTGTTTGGAACCTGATAAGAGGGAAGAGTAAATCTCTTCGCCAGCTCCAGAACAGCCAGATACAGCACTGGTACTGGTTTTCTTACCAAGGGTTTAAATGCACACAAATCACAGGTGCTGGGTCAGTTGCTGGTGTAATGCTTGTCAGAACCTGCTCAAGGGAGCAGTTGATGTTCAGAGTACAGATATGGCTGCTGGAGCCTTCTGGTGTTCCATATGCATCTAACCTCGGTTGGAGTGCACAACTGTATGGAAATATGCCATCAAACCACCTTACAAACAGACCCCAATATTTAAGCGTGAAATGCAGAAATGAGGGAATGGGCGGCGTTACTAGCCATACAAATATGTATGGCTAGAGGGGGGGGGGACCTTCATTTTTGCAAGTACATTATTGCCAAAACTTTTGTGGCAGAACTTTATTAAAGAAAGCAATACATTACAGCTCGCTTGCTGCATAAGTCCCGTTCCAAATGTCTCTCTGTGTGTATATATATATATATATAATTATTGAGGCAGATATAACAAGTTAGCGTTGTGAACAGAACTAATGTAGGCCTATTCCAGGGTTGTGTTGCGCAGGACATATTAAAATGATAAAAGTTTTTCTTTTAAGGAAGGAAGACAGTGACTTCCACCCCCAGGAAAGTCTGCTTTTTAAAATTGTTGCTTCTGGTTCCTTGAGGTGGGATGGTCATTGCTGCTGGTTTTCAAGTTCAGGTGATCTATGGAGGGAAATGCAAATTGTAATTGATGTGCCTGGAAATCATTGATGCTAATATACCAAATAGTAACAAATATATTTTTGCTTAACTCATTTTTGAGGGGGGTTTTCCTGCATCAACTTAGGGTTGGCTGCATATTATAAGACGTACCACTACACAAGTAACTGAAGGACAAAATGATAATACAGTGTTCACCTATTTCAAGGCCTTTTCAACAAGCGATCATCAACACTTCCATTGTGCCACAATTTCTAGGCGCAGGCCTGTGGTTTGTAGGCATAGGTCCAAGTAGTGTTTTTGTTCTTGTCCCACCTCTTTTCCTGGGAAAATCCACTGTTTGCCACTGAATCAGAAAATCTGTGGATAACCCAACTGAGATTTGTTGTTCTGATTCAGCGGTAAACAGCAGGTTTTCCCAGGGAAAGCGGTGGGGCAAATAAAAACAATCAGAAGTGTGGATGAGCCCTTCGCCTCAGGGAATTTAGAAATGGACAAGTACTCTTATCTTCATGTCTCAAGTCAGAGGAGTAACGTTAAGTACTTACATAATGTTGAAAAATTAGTTCCTGACAGAACTGGACAAGCTCATGCTGGATTAACTTGGAAACTACCTGAGGTCTTCCACACACAAAAAGCTCAGGTAATTTTTTGTGAGTTGATCTAAGAGCTTGGAAAAATGCCATCTTCATCCCATACAGGTTTTCCTTCAAACACCCTCCTCTCTTCCTTTACGTGCTATCAGCAGTAGTGGTGATGGGCAGTGAGGAAAGAGAGGTTTTTCCAATTTTCCTTCCTGCTTTCCTTCCCTCTTTCCCCGCTTCCCTCCTTCCTTCCTCTCCACTGTCTACATTGTGGGAGACCATGGGAGATGTATCTCTCCCAAATAATGCTTCTCCCGTTCAGTCTAAAGGAGCAAAGCAGAGCTAAACACTCCTATCTACTACAGTGGACCCTCCGGATACGGACTTAATTCATTCCGGGGGTCTGTTCGCACCCCAAAAATTACGCAAATAGAGGCGCACTTCTGCACATGCACACGGCACAATTGAGCGCTTCTGGGCATGGTCAAGGTGCGCAGAGCACTTCTGTGCATGCGGACACGACAAAACCCGGAAGTATACGCTTCTGGGTTTGCCGCAGCCATAACCCGAAGATTCCTTATCCAGGGGGATACGTAAGTAGAGGTACGACTGTATATATCCTTTTTCTGGTCTTTGAAGTAAAGATACATATACACAGATCCTCCAACACTATCACCATGCTAGATAACGCTGCCGTGTAAAACCCACAGCCTCTTCCCCTGACCTCCACAGGTTCAGAATCAGACCCTGAAAGTCCTACAGGACAGCATCAGGACAGGCGCAACTTCAGGAACACAGGCACAATGGAAGCAGTGCGCTAGAGACTGTTATTCCCGTCTCTACATTCCTGAACTAGTGGGATGGTTCGGCAAGTCCTACACTCAGCTTCGCTGGTGTTGCTATGGTAACGCAGCGCACCTGGCATCCTTATCTCAGAACATCTGGATGTGGGCTGCCTGTGCTGCTCAAGACACTGAGACCAAGCACAGTGCAGTTTAACCCATTGTTCTCGTTACGCCAACACCACCTACGTGAAATGTCGATTTCGTCACAATGTTCATACTAACCTGAACATTTGGGGAGAAGGGAAGTGCATGCTTTTCTTTAAAATTGCCTCCGAGCAATTGGGCTGGCATGTTGAGGAGGTAATGCTCTTTCCTGAAGAATCTCTTAGTTTTCTGAAAGGCAGAACACCATACTCAAAAGGACATCAACCCCAACAGAAATGCATGAAGGTGACACTAGGCTTACTGAAGCGGAAGATATCTGCCTCTAATTCTACAATGTACACTAGGCAGTGCAGCTAGTGGGAGTCAGCACTTGGGCAGAATACTTGTATACTATTGGACTGTACCTTTGTTTAAGAATTGCTTCAGGCAAATGGCATAACAACGGTCTTCACAAGGTACACCTTGGTGGTGTGCCAGAGGTTTCTTTTATTTTCA